TGCTAACAGTTTGCATTGCTTCAGGGGATCTTTGCATTAGGACGATTAGGAACACCTTTTCATTCTGAAATGCTCACTCAAACAAAACCCTTGTTGCCTCAGCTGGGCTGTAACTGTGAAGCTTGGCTTTTTTGCTTTTCTCAGGTAAAGTTTCCTGCCCTTTTGGGCTCTCTGTAGCTGTTTACCCTTACTCTCCCCAATCATTTCCCTAAGGGTACTCTGACCCACTGTCTTTTACTAGCTTGAAGAGACAGAGCTTAGAAGTGGTTTTTAGAAACTTGTTCCTGCCTCCTGCATTGCAGGGATGATTTTTAAAGCTTGAAAGAACTTAGAGGTTTTGCTGTCTTAAGTTTATTGTTTTCCCTTAGAGCTAATCACAGGCGGTCCCCATACTAATATCTTCAAGTGATACTAATTTTTGTCCTCTCCCAGGACAAATTTAGTTTTTAAGTTTGAGAGCTTTTGAGAAAGATTAAGGCTTTTTAGAGAGAGTTTTTCCCCCAAGTTTTCCAAGAAAAGCTTTATAGTTTAAGAGAAAGATTTATTTTTTCCCCAAGAGAAAGAAAGACCAACTTTTCCCAAAACTTCTGAACTTTAAACTTTTTGGCTTTTTACACCCCCATTTTTGCCTCAGGAAGAAAACACTTTCTCCTGCCGCTTGGACTTAGCATTTCAGCTGTCCCCAGGTCAAAAACTTCCATAGGAAACTTTTTCTTCCCCATAAGCTCAAAGAACAGCTTTTTTTTACTACCAGTAAAGCCCAAAGATTTTTTTTCCCCCAGTTTGCTTTCATAGCTCCCAAAGTGAGAAAATTGAAGAGTTTTTCTGTCTAGTTGCCTTACTTATTTTTTCCTACACAATCTTATACTTCTAAGTTTTTCCTAAACTATATTACTACCCTATATCTTATACTTATTTTTCACAGATAGAAATTGAGAAAGGGATAGACGATAGAAAATTTTGACAGAAGAGAATTTCGCTGCAGCATTGGACATCCTTCCAGTCTGCTTTCCTTTTCTCTCGAGGATAAAACCCCTGCCTCCCAGAAAAAATATTTTTTTCCATAACACCGGCATGCCTTTCCACTGGCAGGGCTGACAGCACTTTCACCAAAAACTGTAATAAAACTATTATTTTCCTTTATCTTTAGTCCCTATTACTTTGTCTTTAGTCCCTGTTCATTTGTCTTTAGTCCCCCTTTTTTTTGTTCCCCCTTTTTTTCTTTAGTCCCTTTTTTTCTTTTTTCTTTAGTCCCTGTTAATGGCGCCATTCTGTGGGGCATTTACCCACCACCCCCACAGTTCCCCAGAGTTTTCTTGAATGCAATCAGCAGGAAATATTAGATAGAAGGATTTATTGCGGAGGATATAAACAGATATAAAATAAAGGATAGCCTCGAGAGGGCCTGGAACCTATTCCAACGGGCCCCGACTGTCTCTGGCCCAGGGTTTTTATAGAGATGCCAAGGGGTGGAGCAAAAGACCTCCTCCCCCAGCACAGCCAAGTGCAGACCATCTCAGACACCTGCACTCAGGCCCGTGGTCCTGATCATCCTCTATGCGGACCTGCTGGGTAAAGACACGAGGAACCCGAGAACGGGCTCCCACACATAATGTGCTAAGCAGATTGCCTTTGGGTAAAGGCATCAAATCATGTTGCCTATGATTTATTATAACAACATGCCAGGAAATATGTGATAGCACTATTATGGAGGTACCACAGTACTATCTGATTGGATTTGAGGCCCTTTTCACAGGAAGATTATACCTGGTACTGTAAATTGACTCAATTCCCATGACTAAGAGAATCATAGGCCCAGGGGCATGTGTGAATATTCCTGTTGTCTAGCTAAATTAACATAAAGTTCAATTACTTTACAAATATGCATATTAATACCCTGGATTAGAGACATAGGATATGGCAATAGAAAAGAGAATATATGAGGAAGGAAATATGATTAGCAGGAGGGGTAGAAACCATGGAGATTGTTGGGAGTGAAAAATGATACGTGATGTATGTGTATGAAAATATCAGAATGTAGTCTCCTATCTTGTACAATACGAATTATATAAATTATACCCTGAGGAAAGAAAAGGAAATGTCAGGAGGTATCTGCTAATTAAAGAAGCATTTATTCTTTTATCATTTTTTAAATGAAGTAATTCATTAACTTGCTATTTTCAACCAGGATACAACTGGAGCCTGTTCCCCTAGGGTTGCCTCCTCTGGGCTTCATCACAGTTGAATAAGCAGATATAAACAGTTTAAATTACCAGTGTCCATAGCAAACTCAAACCTTCATTTGCTGGTCTTGGGGTAAGAAGAAATTTCAAACTACTCGAGGAATTGTTGAGTCTAGAATCCAACATTTCAAATACAACAATGTTATTTTATACTAAGTAATTATACTATGAAAAATTAAAAGTAAGATACTATAGTTTTTTCTCATTTCATGTTCTCATAAAAATAATCTAGTAAAAGGTCTGCATATGAATTATAAACCAAGCTACCTGGACAAATGAGAAAAAACAGAAAATACCAAAATTAAATTTTGTATACAAAAAATGAGTGTTTGTTGTAGGTTGTGCACTATCAATCTCTTGATAAATAAGTTACCCCAAAGGAAAAGGAATCATTAATTGGCTAATAGAGAGTGTACAAATATTGACATATTTAATATTGAGGGTCTTTTATTTTTATATGATTCATAGAACAATGAAATTTAAAAATTGGATCTTACTATACAATCCAGCAAACAACTGAAATAACTACTTATTTAAAATTTCTTGGCTTAATTATTTGACTATTTTCAAATGTAGTAAGACATAGGTTTTCCTTAAATTTCTTGGGGCAAGGGTTTTGGGAATACAATTTGACAATGAAGTAGTATAACAGGAGGTAATGTTTTCCTAACAAACTTGAGAATACATACACTGTGATGAAGCTATAGTGAGTTGTGGCTATGGCAATGATAAAATACAAAACTTCCATAAGATAAGTGATGAAATGTCCACAGAAGATTGATCTTCCAACAGCTGTTCAATAAAGGCAAATTTAAATTATTGCACTCCTACAAATGTATTATTTAAGTACTATGCTTAGAATATATGAAATTCTGTATTTTGTAACAATATGTACAAGTATATTTACATTAATTGAGGAGCTGGGCATATACTGTCCAGTAAACTATTATGAAGGCTCTTAATTAATTGGGCTATTAACTTGGAATGTGTTTTCTTGCTGGCTTTCTCAAACTTGTAGTTTTTCATTATGTATCTAGTACAAAAGCCTGACTCAAGAGAATTTGATTCCAATTCCTCAATTACCAAAAGAATAAACACGTATATTTTTAAATCATTATTCACCTTTATATTCTTTAAAGAATAAGGAGAAGTGGACAGGGTAGTCGATACCAGTATCCAAAGCTGCTGGAAAGCTGAAAAAGGGTGATTGTTATGAGGTCAAGGTCAACATGGGCTATAGAGTGAAATGGAATCTTACCTCTACCCCTGCAAACAACTGAATTCTTATATATAAATTGTTAACAATTAAGAAATCATGTGTTCTAAAATGTTTCATAGAATATAATCTGTGTATATTGCATTGGAGAATATATATATATATATATAACAACATATTCTATAATTTGCTTTTTAAAGATTTGATTTTGGCATATTTTCCTCATAAAGCTTTCTCCCATCTTATTAATGCATATTAGTGTTCATTGGCCACTACTATACAGAATTTAGCAAATTATTCTATAGGATTTCTGACACATTTACAATTCCGATTCTAGTACAGTACACTGTCATATATAACAACTCAATAGGTTCTATGTCATAGGTGGGTTTTGTACCTACACAAGTTTTTGTTTTATTATAGTTTAAGACAAAACTTCTAATAGAAAAGCTGTAGGTTGTGTAGTAGGCATACAGTTTAAGAAGGAATATATATATATGTATATATATATATATATACATATATATATATTCAGAGAGAGATACAATTAAAATTTAAAAGGGCATGAATTTGGAAGAGGGTGCAGGAGGAAGGTGTAGGTACAAAGAACATCTTGGAAGAAGAAACAGAAAACGATGTAATTATATTACAATATCAAAAAATAGAAAATTTTAAAAAGGAATACCTGAGTTCAGACACAGGGTAAAACAGGGAGCCTATATGGGTCAAAGCTAGGAACTCTGAATATATGTTATGGTTGTGAGGCTTGGTATTCTCATGGGACTCCTAACTGTAGGTGGAGGTTGTCTCTGACTCTTGCTTGATCTTGGAACTCTTTTCCTCCTACTGGGTTGTCTCATTTGGCATTGATGTGAGAGTTTGTGCCTAGTCTTGTGTTAACTTCTTATGCCATCTTCAGTTGGTAACCCTGGGAGGCCTGCTTTTTCTTGAGAGAAACAGAGGAGAAATTTGGAAAGGAGGTAGGGAGAGAAACTGGGAGGTTCGAGGAGTGAGAAAAACTGAGGTCAGGATTTAATATATGATAGAAGATTCTTTTTTTTTTTTT